ATCTCCACCCCTTGGACCCACAGGGTCATGGCATCACCATCTCCATCCCAAGGGCTCCCCAGGGTTGGAGTATCTCCATCCCCACCCCTAGGACCTGTGGGGCCATGGCATCACCATCTCCACCCCTGGGACCCACAGGGTCATGGCACCACCATCTCCACCCCTTGGACCCATGGCACCACCATCTCCACCCCTTGGACCCACAGGGTCATGGCATCACCATCTCCACCCCTTGGACCCATGGCACCACTATCTCCACCCCTTGGACCCACAGGGTCATGGCATCACCATCTCCATCCCAAGGGCTCCCCAGGGTTGGAGTATCTCCATCCCCACCCCTAGGACCTGTGGGGCCATGGCACCACCATCTCCAGCCCAGTGGATCCACGGGGTGGTGGCATCCCCACCTCCAACCCGTGGCATCATCCATGAGGTGGTGGCATCACCCACCATCCCTTGGACACACGGGGCTGCATCATCTCCCTCCCCATCCCGGTTCTGTGGCATCCTTAGGACCCATGGGACCGTGGCCACCCTCAGCCGGGGTGCCAGTGGCCAAGGGGGCCAGGACCAGCGAGGTGGTGGAACTCACTCGCCCATGAAGCCCTTGGAGACGGAGTGGAAGGAGGCCAGCTCCACCACCTCCGAGTAGGGCGGCCCCATCTCGAACAGGACCTTCTTGAAGGAGTGGAAAGCCGAGCCCTCGGCGTAGATGTTGTCCTGGTACACCTTGAGGAGGGGGGGGACGAGGGACAGGGGGTGGTGGGAGGTCACCCAGACGTCAGGGTCCCCTCCCCGAGGATGGAGGTGGGGGACAATCTGTGGGTCCCACTCACCTCATCGGCCATGAGGAAGAGCTTCTCCTCGAAGGCGAACTTGATGACGTCTTCGATGCACTGCCGACTCTGGACCTGTCCTGGGGCGGGGGACACGGCGTCAGGGGACATCATGGTGGTGGGACTGGGTGGACATCGTGATGGTGGCGTCCCAGCACCAGCACCAGCTGGGTTTTGGGGGGCCCAGCCCTGGTACTGGTTGAGTTTTGGAGGTCACGGTCCCAGCCCCAGTACGGGTAGAGCACCGGGGGTCCCAGTCCAACCTTGGGGTCCCAGTCCAACCTTGGGGACCCAGACCAAGGGTTGCCTTCCCAGTCCTGTGGTCCCATCCCAGAACAAGGGTCCCAGTTCCACCTCGAGGTCCCAGCCCAGGGGTCCCCTTCCCAGTCCTGGGGTCCTAGCCCAGCCCAGGGGTCCCAGTCCAGTCTTAGGGTCCCAGTCCAGTCTTGGAGACCCAGACCAGCAGTTCCCTTCGCAGTCCTGAGGTCCCATCCCAAAGGTCTCAGTCCCATCTTGGGGTCCCAGACCAGCTCAAGGGTCCCAGTCCAGTCCTAGGGTCCCAGTCCAGTCTTGGCGTCCCAGACCAGCTCAGGGGTCCCAGTCCAGTCTTAGGGTCCCAGTCCAGTCTTGGCGTCCCAGACCAGCTCAGGGGTCCCAGTCCAGCCTTGAGGCCCCAGCTAGGGGGTCCCATCCATCCCAAGTGTCCCAGTGCAGTCTTGGGGTCGAGACCAGGGGTCCCCTTCCCAGTCCTGAGCTCCCATCCCAAAGGTCCCAGCCCAGTCTCGGGGTCCCAGCCCAGCCCAGGGTTCCCAGTCCAGTCTTGGAGTCCCAGACCAGGGGTCCCATCCCATCCCAAAGGTCCCAGTGCAGTCTTGGGGTCCCAGCCCAGCTCAGGGGTCCCAGTCCAGTGTTGGGGTCCCAGACCAGGGGTCCCCTTCCCAGTCCTGATCTCCCATCGCAAAGGTCCCAGCCCAGTCTTGGGGATCCCAGACCAGCCCAGGGGTCCCAGTCCAGTCCTAGGGTCCCAGTCCCTCCTTGGGGTCCCAGACCAGCGCAGGGGTCCCAGTCCAGTCCTAGGGTCCCAGTCCAGCCTTGGCGTCCCAGACCAGCCCAGGGGTCCTGGTCCAGTCTTAGGGTCCCAGTCCAGTCTTGGCATCCCAGACCAGCTCAGGGGTCCCAGTCCAGCCTCGGGGTCCCAGACCAGTGGTCCCCTTCCCAGTCCTGAGGTTCCATCCCAAAGGTCCCGTTCCCATCCCAAAGCTCCCAGTCCCATCTTGTGGGTCCCGGTCCCATCCCAAAGCTCCCAGTCCCATCTCGGAGATCCCAAGCCAACCCAGGGATCCCAGTCCCCAGTTACCGGTGGGGTTGCCGGGATTGATGATGCAGAGGACGCGGGGACAGCAGTGTCGACGTCCCTCGACCAGCGCCCGCCGCAACTCGGCCAAACAGTTCTCCTCGTCCAGATAATAGTTGAGCTGAACGGCGCTGAGTTCGGCGATGGCGGCGGAGTAGAGGGGGTACTGCGGGATGGGGATGAGCACTCCCGTGCGCGACTCCCCCGAACCGGACACCAACAGCTTCAGGATGCTCTGCGAGGGGAGGGGGGAGAGGGACAGAGTGGGTATGGGGACGGTGTGGGGACAGGGAGGGGGTGGGGACAGGGACGAGGTGGGGACAGGGCTGGGGTGGGCACGGGACGGCATGGGGACAGGGATGGGGTGGGGACTGGGATGGTGTGGGGACAAGGACGGTGTGGGGACAAGGATGGCATGGCGACAGGGATGGGGTGGGCATGAGGGTGGTGTGGGGACAGGGACGGTGTGGGGACAGGGATGGGGTGGGGACAGGGA